ATTTAAAATCTTTAGCTGTCTTGCCCTTTCTTAATTTTGGTGCCTTCCTGCTTCAACAGTCCATTTAACTGACTGTGAGCTACCTGCACCCATTTCAATCCACTCTCACCTGTAAAATGCCGGCCGGCCTTCCAAGAGTGTCCGTCAGCTGGTCCTTCTTTCCCAGATCTCGGTAGGAACCTTCATTTGTAGCGGTAATGACCGCATTACCAATACCCGTTCACCATGTCCGAGCGAAGGGCTGCGGATTAAAAAATAGAGACAAGAGACAGCGAGTCATTCGTACATTTGGATATCGAATGCCGTTTATTGAAAGAGGGAAGAAACCTTAAATACGTACAGGCTTACAGCACAAATGGAGGGCAGAAGTTCGCTGTCAATGGTCTACATTCCAGACTCAATGTTCTACAATCTAGCATCTAAGTAGTTAACGCCCAAAATGCAGGATACACAACAAGGAACTTCCCTTAAGCATTCAGAAGGGTGGATACCGGCAGGGAATCTGAATAGGGAGGACATCTGATCAAGGTCAGCAAGCAAGGCCGCAGCCACTCCCAGTCGGGGGCCAGGGCCCATGGCGCCAACAGTACAAGCCTTGGGGTGTGGCTTCTTGTCTTTGTATGTGACTGCTTAAGCGGAGAGACAAAGGGAGATAGAGGGTCTCGCTCTCTTGGGGTGAGGTGAGGAGACCAGGTGAGGCAGCAGAAAGAAGCTTACAGTTGGTACCATCTGCTTTAAGGAGAACAGAAGCTGGATCAGCAGCAGATCTGCAGCATATCTACCTTGCTTTGTATTAATCTGTTTCTACATCACACTCCTTAATAAATTGATATATCACCTATCTATCTATCTATCTATCTATCTATCTATCTATCTATCTATCTATCTATCTATCTACCTATCTATCTATCTGTCTGTCTGTCTGTCTATCTTTCTACCTACCTACACACCTCTGTGGGCTCTCATGTGGCACCCAATGCAAGGCCCCATGCACAAGCTCCTCTGAAAAGCTATTGTCCTCATCTGGCCTTTACAAAACCACAGATTCTGGAGCACAGTAGTGTACCCTTTAATCCAAGTACCAGGGAGGAAGAGGCAGGTAGGTCATTATGAGTTCTGAGTTTGGGACTAGCCTGATCTACATAAATAGTTTCAGACCAGTCAAAGCTGCATAGTAAATTTTTTTTCAAATTTTTGAAAAGAAGAGAAGAGGAAGAGAAGGAAGAGGAAGCAGAGGAGGAGAAGGAAGAGGAGGAGGAGGAGGAGGAGAGAGAGAGAGAGAGAGAGAGAGAGAGAGAGAGAGAGAGAGAGAGAAGTGATGATATGTTGTTTAATCTAATAAAGTTTGCCTGAGGATCAGAGGACAGAGCCAGCCACTAGATTAGACATAGAGGCCAGACAATGGTGACATACATCTTTAATGTGAGTACTGGGATGCACATATACCTTTAATACCAGGAAGTGACCGCAGGGCAGAGAAAGTTATATAAGGCGTGAGGAAACAGGAACTAAGGCAGTTCAGCTGAGACCCATTCGGGTGAGGACTCAGAGGCTTTCAGTCTGAAAATTCTTAGAAACAGGATTGGCTGAGGAGTTTGCAAGGTAAGATTGGCTGTGGCTTGCTCTGCTTCTCTGATCTTTCAGCTTTCACCCCAATATCTGGTTTGGGGTTTTTTATTAAATGAACACCAAGATTCGAACAACAGAGACAGAAAGAAAGAAAAAAAGAAAGAAAGAAAGAAAGGAAGGAAGGAAGGAAGAAAGAAAGAAAGGAAGGAAGGAAGAAAGAAAGAAAGAAAGAAAGAAAGAAAGAAAGAAAGAAAGAAAGAAAGAAAGAAAGAAAGAAAGAAAGAAAGAAAGAAAGAAAGAACCTAACACTTGGCTTGGCTGTGGTCTATTCAAAATTGTGTATAATATTGATCTTCTGGGCTGGTGAGATGGCTCAGTGGTCAAAGGCACTTGCTGTCAAGCCTGACAAGCCAAGTTCATTTACCAGGACCCTGGGATACATATGGTACAAGGAAAAGCTAACTCCCAGAAGTTGTTCAGTTGTTCTTTGACTGCTACATGTGTACCATGGCACATAACACACACACACACACACACACACACACACACACACACACACATACACACACACACACATACACAGCATACACACAATAAATAATAATAAATAAATTTAAAGGAATGGTGCACTAATAGTGAAATGTTCATGGGAAATATATATTGAAGATCTTAGAATTGTTTCCTGGCTGTCCAACTACAGTAGAGCATACACCTTGACATGTGCATGAAGTGACAGGAAAACCAGAAGGATGATGGATGGAGGCGGTATGGTGTTCTGAAGTTGAAGTTCATTCATTAATGCAAGGATGAATATTGCATTGGTAAATTTCTATTCACAAAGATGAAAACCTACACTCAATTTCAGAGGGATCAGCCATGTTTATTTAGCTCCTTGTTTGCTTCATACATTTAGTTCATTATTTTTAGTATCCCTCCTCACAGACACTGCACCCTAAGCACGTGCAGACCAGTGCATTCTCTATCTGGTGCCATCTCACTTCTTCCTGAGTCACAATGTCAATTGCCTACATGCATTTCATGGCCTTCCCAGATTCTGCAGAGTTATGTGTCTTTTGTTTTGTTTTAGGTTATTTGCTTGGAAAATCTAGTCTCTGGATTTCATTCTCTTTCTTTCTTCTCTAAAAACACCCATCTTTCAGAAAACAGCATGACAGGGCTGTAAAATAAGGACTTGGGGTCATCTACAAGTTGAGACAATATGTCAATTGTGTAAGAATTTTTGTATCTAATTACATACTTCATTAGGGATATCAATGTAAATGGTTACTTCTGCGCACGAGTGTTCACCTTGCTTTCATTGTGTAATATGTACTCTTGATGTTATACTCTACAGAAATACTTTTTTAGATAGCTAGGACTGGATTTAGACTACAATTACGCCAGCTATAAAGCTATTGTGTTGAGTTTGGGAAATATATCAGCCTGTAAGTGACTGCTTTGAAGTCTAAGGACCTGAGTTTGATCTGCCAGGACCAATGTGAAAAGAGTCAAGCTTGGTGGTAGATGCCTGAAATCTCAGTGCTGGGGAGGCAGAGACAGGAAGATCACTGGGACCCCTTTGCCAGCCCGCCCACCCTGCTTGGGCAACTCTAGGCTTATGATGCCTTTTGTGAGCATCTGCTCACTATACACTCTCATTACCATAGTCACCATTGCTGAGTCTATGATGATGACGTGAGTGCTGGTGAGGAGTGGTGGTGTGCTTTTCTGCTTGCCTCCAGACACACTGACTTGTGACCATCAATTCTCCAACCTAGCTATCCTCGTCTTTCAGATTCTGTCTAGGTATCATCTCTACTAGAAGCAGTCTAAAAACATCTGGGTAAGTGATACGAACTGTTCCTATGGTGTGGAACATTCTATAGACACACACCATTCACTGATTATCAGAACTAGCTACTCTGGCTGCTTGACACCCCTACTACACCATGAGCATCTCAAGTGCAGACACCCAATACATTTGTCTGGACATCACCCTTAACCCGTATAATGACATGAGATCATTATCTCCCTCATAACCACTATGCAAAATCTTTGTTGTGCAAACTCATTCACTGAAGACAATGAATCAGCCCTGTTTTCTTAAGAAAGTTTCCAGGGCCGGGCGGTGGTGGTGCACGCCTTTAATCCCAGCACTCGGGAGGCAGAGCCAGGCGGATCTCTGTGAGTTCGAGGCCAGCCTGGGCTACCAAGTGAGCTCCAGGAAAGGCGCAAAGCTACACAGAGAAACCCTGTCTCGAAAAACCAAAAAAAAAAAAAAAAAAAAAAAAGAAAGTTTCCAGTAGCAAACATTCCACATGGGACTCAGAGTGAGATAACTTCTACTTTATCATTTCTTATGTTTTATTCTGAGATGTCCTTAGCATTTGTACCACAGGAAAACTGCTCCGACAGTGTGTTCCTCTGACCTTTGTGTTTTGGGCTGCTTTACCTGTTAGACTTTCTCCGTCAGTGCAGGGTGCTGTCAACAGCCTGCACTGTGATGACATACCACTGACTGTCTCCTACATGCCTCCTGACAGCTATCTCCACAAATAAAATTTAAATTGAAACCACTCCAAAAAATACCCATGACCTCGAGGAGATTTATCAGCTCTCCGGGTGGATGTAGTAAATGAAAAGTTATTATTCTCCCCTCACACAAATTCTGTCTGACAGATGGTATTTGTTATTTTAGGAGAGGAACAGTCCACTGGGTCTTTAAGGGGCTCATTTAATGGTCCCTTTGTACCCTTCCCACAAATCTTTTGCTGCTGTCTAAGAACACACATACAATAAATTCTACTGTAATATAACTATGGAAAAATGAGCATATCTTAGGGTGATGAGGATGAGATTAACTGAACCAATTTATATGAAAGACCCAGGAAAGCTATCAATGCTTCTCAGCCACATATATAGAGTGGAAACCTGTGCTTTCCAAGTTTCCCATGAGTTATTTCATTGGGTTTTCATCATATTTCTATAGAACTAGCCTTTTCCATGTAACATATTTCCCTGCCTTTCTCAAGTGCTGCCTGAGAGTGAGGCTGGGTTATGTAATTACCACCACACTTCATTTCATACAAAACACAAACTGAGGCAGCATTCGTGTCTCAAGGGTCCCTCTGAAAACCTTAACAAGAGAGTTTCATTCCCCAGAATCCATGCAATAAACTTAGTGTCTCCATGGACACATCTGTAACCCCAGCTCTGTCACAGGTAGAAACAGAAGGATCTCTGGGCCTTGGTGGCTATCAGCCTAGTTACAGATTCCGGGAGAGATTCAGTTTCAAGGACATAAAGTGACAAAGAGAAAACAGGGCCCCTGCTGTCATCCTCTGGCCTCTGTGTGCACACAGGCATGCACACCCACCCTCACACATACACCATACACAAACACATAACAAGAAGTAAATTAATCAAGTAATGAATGAATGAAACGTAAATTTTGCAAAATCAATATTCAGCAGCAGGAATTTTCACTTCCTTTTTTGACAAACTTTTTAAAAAGGGAAGACTTTATTACCTTCCCTGTGTGAACCTAAAATAGTTAATTCATTGTTTTTAATTAGATAAATAAATCTCTATAGTGGATTAAAACATACCAAAATTAATTGTATTGTAACTTTGTGAAACAATCAATAAAATAAGTAAAAGATTGACTTGAGATGTTTTCCATGCATTTGCATCCTACATTAACATCAGTGTTCTTTTAAAATTGGAAGGGTAGGGGATGGCAAAATGTCTCAGTGGGTAAACATACTTACTGCACAAGTCTGAGGATCTGAGTTCAAGTCCTGGGAACCCATGTACATGTG